GATTTGTCTCGTGGATGTCAACCCGAGTTGCGAATGTTGTATTATTCAGTATTTTCCAAGCTGTGGTGTATAAATCATGCCATAATAAATAAAGTTTCACTGGTCCGAGGACCCACATTCTATTCTTCATTATTTTTAGTTGAAAATTCGACAGCAAAGGGCATCAGAAGGTCTGTGAGATTTTCATAGGGGTCCATGGTCTAGAAAGTTTGGAAACCACTAGTGCATCTCTTGTTGCAAAGGCTTCATATCAAATAGATTTTCATACTTCATCTTACTTTGTCTCATGCAGCTAAAAAAGAAATCCAACAATGCTTTTCAGAATCAGGCAATTAAATCTATTCAATGCAGTATTTAAATCATGCAGGAAAAAAAAAAGAACAAAATGTCTACAAGTCTATTTGGGAAGTCTAGGGTACTTAAAAATAAAGGAATTTCTTTTGCCTCAGGAAGAGAAGTGTGCGTCCTATCATACACATCTCATTTACTGATATCTGTGTATAAATGATACCTGTGTAGCACTGTTGCTTTTTCTTTGCTATTCAAAAACATCTATATAGTTTTCCTTTAAACATGATGACGATTTTGGTTTTTTTCAGAAACATTTTGTTAGGTTAAAAATAAAGGGCAAATAGAAATAACCTTTCCTCACTGTAATTGGAGGAGTGAAACTGGAAGGATCCTGAAATTAAGGTGACCACCTGCAAGCTTGTTGCTTGAAGTGATTTTTGCCTCTTTTTCCCAAAACAAATGCTTATTGATGCGCGGTAAAGAGCATTCTGTTGTGCAGATGATGGACTGTGTGTATCTTTGGCACCTGAAATGGCCTGGATGGGGGTGCAGGTTTACAAGTTTCATCGTCCTGGAGGCTGATATGGACTTGGCATTAGGTTTTCTTTTTGATGAGCCGTCTTCAAGTGGCGTCATCTTCATCATTCCTCATCCATCGGTTGAGTATGACAGCACATTTAAAATGTTGTGGAAATGGTTTGCTGTTTGTAAGTGGATTTAGAGTGCAGCTGTTTGTTTATTTATAGGGATATTCATCAGGGCCGGAGAGTCAAAATGTACTCGGTGTGGCAAGGTTGAGTGTTGCCACATGCAGATCCTCCTGTAGGGCTAGTCTTAAGTGCCGGTTTGTCTGTGAGTATAAGTACATGAGCATTATGTATTCATTATCTTAATGGCTGGCATAGGCATGACTGGCAGGAGGAATACACAACTGCGTTGTGGAAAGACAGGATGTAGTTAGGGATCTTTCTGATCTGAAACCTACTATGAATGCCATCCTGTAAAGAGACGCTTAATCTTGGACTGAATCCTGCGCGTGCAGATAATGAAGTGATGTGAGATTAAAAGAAGTCTGTCAAGTGACTGACGAAATGTTGGGGGCCTGTGTTGAAATCGCATGTGTGATTTCTGCCCTCCGTGCCAGGCTGAGAAATACCATGAAGTGCTTTTAAAGGAGCATAGCTCCGTTTGTATTTTTCCAGATAAACCCCAGTATCTTTTGTCTGCTACATGTTACCAATTTTGACTTTATTCTTATTATGAATGAATTTCCAGTCAGATGATAAGGTCAGTTTGATTCCTTTCTGCCTTCTCCTTTGTAATGCAGCATCAGTCAGATATGCTGATAAATGCTGGTAATTATTAATTTTTTTTGACTTTTGCGTGATGACACAATATTTAGTGTTTACATGCCATCACTTAAAGAACAAACTTGTTGTTACGCTAGACAGATACAAAGGTGCTTGATTTATGGCTACAGGAAATTTTCTTTTCTGGTAGCAATAGTGACTGATCACATCCAATACAATAAAATAGTGCATTTTATTTTGGTCTGCACTGAAGGAGTAAATGTACATGAAATTGTGGCATCTTAGCTGTGCCAGTGTTTTATGCAAGAGTGTTAGATTTATTTTTTTTCTTTTTGCTCAGATATGTGCTTGACAAGAATTGACATCAAAAAGGAGCAACTGTAGGTGATTCTTCATTTTATTCAAGATTTGACTTTCCCAGCTTTATGTATATAGAAACATTGAAGTGTTTCTAATCCAAAACATGTACTTAGTACAGTTCAATCATTGTAATAGTGAAATTGGTGTATCAGCTTAAAACTGCTCATATTGACATAGCAATGTCGGTGAATGAAAAGATGGGAATAAATATTAATATGACTGTAAGGCATCTTTTTTTTCTCAATATAACCCTGTCCACAGCTGTGCTGAAGTTGATAGGATCTGACTGAGCCTCTGTAGAGAGTACCAAAGTGCCTCTTGGTGCCTGACTGTAGGGGCTGTTTTCTTGCCTCTGCCTGCCTTTTGGGGACACCCCCTAAGGCTGTGCATTCCGGCCAGTGCAAACTGGTGCGGATTCATGCCTGTGTCAAAAGCGGCCCAGCCCCATCCCATGTGCCAGTGTGTCTTTTTGTGCTGCCAGTATGCTCATAATTGGTTACTGAGCTGAATTTGGCCATTTTAACATCCCTGGGTTTTCACCCTTCTCCTGGGTTACTTCTCATCCAGATCCACCTCCCCAGCTCGGTGCGCTGCTGCACGGACACTTGTCCTGGCTTGGAGAAGGAGATGGGGCATATGGCTGGTTTGGCAGGATGAAGGGGCTGGCAGGTTAGAGGGCCAGGGCATGTCTGAATGCATTTGCTTTAATGGTTCTTGCACATATTTTATTGCTACATCTGATATAATCTACTAAAATAGAATTTTGCTTCGGAGAGTAATTGTAGTATCAACACTTCAGGAATAATACAGTGGCAAGGACAAGTAATTCTGTGTATTTGTTGATACAAATGCTGTATTTGAAAGGCAGTGTCCAGACTCTCTGTTCCTTGCAGTGGTCTGAGGAACCAGTTTTAAGCTGGGCAGTGAGGGGGAGGGCAGAATGAAGGGCAAAAGGAAGAAAAGAGTTTCATATCCTAAAATATTGTTGATGGGGAAAAATAGCAAATGCATCTTCTAATGTGTAAATACAGTGTATTCTAGTCCAAAGGGGGAAAAAATCTCTGTGGCCTGAAGGGTGTTTCTGGCTTACAGAGGGTAGTCTCTTCAGTCAATAGAAAGAAAAAATAGCTACCTGTAGCAGGTAGTTCAGACAAGGAACCCAATTTAGCCACTCCAGGGTCCTGTGTGAGGGGCCCGTGTCTGTCCATTGACCACCCAGTGAGCCTATGACAATTTACCTCCCTAGGGTAATGCTGGCCTCAAAACCACATGTTGGATGGCTGATCTGCACTGCTGACAGTCAATTAGTTATAGGGTGGGTATTGTCTGCTTCTTCCAGCCAGAGCAGAAATAACGGCAGTAGGAAGAAAGGGGTTCCTTCAGGTGAGCACTTGAATAAAGAATCTTTTATTTTAAAGTGTAATACCTAGTTTTGTCAAGCTGCTGCTGTTTGATTAGTGAAGGTCTTTTTGTTAGAATGATAGATAATAGTTTCGTTTAATATTTCTCTTTTTCCTTTTTTATTTTGTATTTTTCTGCAGTGCACTAAAGATATTAACTTGAGAGGTGTTTTCTCAATATTTCAGTTGTCTCCTTCTGACTAGCAACACAAAGTTAAATGCTACTGATGGGGTTTTTTTTATTCCCTCAATCCATTTTGCTGCTAGTTTGCATGCTATCTAAACTTATATTCCTTTGCCTACATTGTATCTGTATGAAATTTGCTAGAAGCTAAGCTTGCTTAATTGTGCCCAGCATTTGTAGCCTATCAGAGGTTCACTTGAACTTTTTTAAAAAGTATTTATTGCACTGAAGGCGTCAGACTGCAATTAAAACAACTTTTGTGGGCATCTGTGAGTTGTTAAGGGTACACACTGTTCGTGGCATCTCCTGAGTAGGAGCTAGTTATGCTGAGAGGCTTAATGTGGAGAAAATCACAATGAGTGTTTTTTCTCCTCTGTGTGTGCTTACTTGACTATGGAAGGTGGAGGAGGAGGGGCAGGGAAGGGCACTAGAAACACTTTCACAATTCGCTCTCTTGCCCTCAGAACTTAACAAGAGTTATTTTGTGTACAACTGGAAGGATTTCCAACAAAAATCCTCCTTACAGTGTAAAAAAGACACAGACCCTCCAACGACATGGCTTAGCCAGAGTGTTTTATTGTTCTCTCAGAGAAGATGTGGAATTGCTGGTATGTATCTGTCTGGAATCACCTGTCCAGAAACCTATGGGAATGTACAGGAAATCAGAAACCCTCAGCTTCCAGCAGATGTGGTGGAGAGTGGCCTCTGCATGAAGAGCAAGCCTGTCACATCCCATATACAGCCTGTCCCTGTGCTTTGTCGTTTATCTGGAAACCCCAGACCAAGACCGTGAATCCTTAAATGCTCCCCATAGACACAATTCCTGTGCACAGAAAGGTGCTGTGGGGAGGAAAGCGCAGGAAAATGGTAGTTATTAAATGAATAAGCTGTACCCAAGAAGAATCAAATGTAAACAGCTTAAGGTCTCAGTAAACTGCCAGTGGTTTTTTGTCTTGGTGTTGTTTTTTGTTTTGTTTTGTTTTTCAAGTTCATTTGTTTATAGATTTTAAAAAGTGTTGGGTTTTTTGTTACTTCTTCTACATCATTCAGTTTCTAAAAAACATTGAAACTCTGATAAATGCCATTGTGTATTGTAGGTTTTGGGATGTAATTTACATGTACAGTGTACTTTGTTTTGTGTGATAACTTTCAAAGCAACAGGATCAGAAAAAAAAAGCGCTTCCTTTATGAATTGATATTTTCCTGTAGCTAATCATATTATTTGAAGATACGATACAGAAATAAAACAAATCTTATTGTTTGAATGTTTCTGTTCTTGCAATGATTTATCTCTCTGTTTAGTGAACAGAATTTGTATAAAATCGGTCTTTACGTTTCTTTTTCATGGTGCAGACTTAGCAGGTAAGATTTGCACTTGAATACAACCTCATTCTCTGTTTTCGTTCAGAGCATAATTGATGCAAAGCGCTGGTGTTTTTTGTGGTTTTGTTCTAGTTGTTCTCCAACATTAAAGATGGTGAAGGCTTACAGTTGTTTGAGCAAGGTCATCGCACCGCACACAAGCAGGAGTGTCACACCATGGAGGCGGTGAGGCTGGTGGAGTTCAACCTGAAGCAAGTGCTCACAAAGCTCATGACTCACATCTTTGGTGATGGTAGGTTCTTGCACCTTTTTCCTGGACTGCTGATGGTTGTAGGCATCCACACTTTTGAGAAACATTTTCCTGCATGATGAAAACAGGAGGCTTAGGGGTGGTGTTGGCAGCTGGTATACTGAAGCAGCCATGTCAGTTGTTCTTCTAATGAGAGTTACAGTAATTTTAGGAGTCTTCATTCATATTTTTTACCTTTACATTTTTGTCTTAAGTTTGGTCAGAGTTCCATCACAGTGTCTTTAGTGTCAGAGTAACTGGCTATTGACTGACCTTTCAGCTGTAACCTGTATTTATGTTATTGTTCTTTAACACTATTGTATCCACGCCTTATAAAATTATTGAGCAGAGTCCAAGAGGCCACACTCTTTGGGTTTTTCCTAAATACTAGTGCACACAACCCTGTGCTGAATCAGGATTTTGTGAAGAGGTTTTGGTATGCAGCGTGTCAGGGTAACGTGTTGGGTATGAATACGGGTAGGGACAAGTGCCAGACCCAACTACAGACACTTGTATGGCAAAAGCCGTGTGTGGGTTCTGTGAGGAGAGGCAATTCCAGCACAAAGCTGCGTGGGACCACCTCTGCTTCATCCTCGTGGGTCTCCTGTGTCCCTGGAGGGGCAGAGCATGGCTGTGGCACCACACCTGGGGCTGCATCAGAGCTGGGCACCACGGTGGAGCGTGTGGCAGCGTGGAGCTTGGCAGGAGATGGGGTACGTATGTGCATGTGCTGCTTTCCTGCATGTACACTCAGTGTCGTGTTTTCCTCGTGCAAAAAAACACTAAACCGTGCAGCCGAGGAGAGGTGATGTTGGGTAAGTTTGCACCAAGCTGAAAAATAATGTGTGTGGTACTTATGGTGGAATAAGCAAGAGTAATGAATGTCTGTGTGTACGAATGAAATATCCTTTCCAATGGAACTACCTGCTTTTGGTTTCAGTAGCTGAATTTATAAATGGCCTGAGTCAAAATTGCTACATTAATGCTATTTCCTGGCAAGGAGGCTTCTCTTCTGAACTGATTCATTTTTTCTGTTGAGGAACTACTGGGTAATATTAGAATGCACAGGAAACGCTGGCTACTTTCAAGGCTCTTTTAAGATGCCCACTGAATTTAGAGCAGTAGTTCCAGGAGTGGATTGATTACAGTAGCAAGTCCTATATATAACTGCTTGAATATTTGTCTGAAATTCTCAAGTTTAATTTACAGCAAGCAAAACTTTTACCAGTTTTTGTTCTATCCTATCTGGTCAAAATTTTTTTTGAGTTCCTGAGTTCAATTTTTCTTGTGGTTGTATTTTACTTAACAGCAGTCTTTTGAAACATACAAAATTAGGATAAAAATGAGTAATAGTAAGAATGGTATTTTTTGATCAACCTCAAATGCTGAGGATGTTGTTTAAAATGAGCAATTTCTGGGAGTTATTTGTGATATCTGAGGTTACAGTGACAATCTTCTCTAACTATTGACAGGTGCTGCACTTTAAGCTTCAGTATGTTGGCTATTCTAGTTCTTCCACAGTCCATACAGTAACTAGAAAGACATTAAAAAAATATTATTAAATGATTGTGAACCTACAGACTGAGTAGATGCTGCCTTCTTACTGTAGGGTTTTTTTTTATTTCTATGCCCTGGATATTTTTCCTGAAGTATAAAGATAAGATATAGTGATTTAAATATAATTATCCTTTTTTTTTTCTTCCCTTTTTTCTTTTTTTCCATTCATGGGAATGGGAAGTTCTCTCTCCTTCACCTTGATGTTCTTGTAAGCTGTCAATACAAACTGGAAGGTAATATTCAAAGAAGCAACCTTCATTCTAAGCACTAGACATATGAGATGGGTGCAATGCAAGTGACCCGGGGCACACATAATTAAATCCCTCTTTTGACAGCTGTCATCTTTTAATTTTCATTTTATTCTCTGCTTTGCACAGTGTTTCTGATTACTTTTGTGTCTCAACCACCTTGGATTTATTTATTTAGAAGTGTTTTACTCTATTTATTGCTCTCGGAAAAAGTCTGCATATTTTTTTTCTTGTGACTATTCCGTAAGGCCCCGTGTTCTGTTAAAAGCAAAACTTTAATTCCTTTTATACTTCATGTCAGTTGTATTCTTTACAGCCTGTGCTGCCAGCAGAGTATTGCAGTGGAAGTTACACATCTTCTCTGGCAGGGCAGCGTGACCATGGCTGCAGTAACCTACTGAAATATTGGATTGTCTACAGTCAACTGTTACCTGTAGACAGATTGTTTGGATTGCAGATTAAGTCTACTGGGCAAGTTAGTTGTGCATAAGGTAGTTTAGACCTGAGGTGCACTTCTGCAGGGCTTCTCTGGGAATTTACCAGCTCAGGTTGATGACAGATTTAGGATCTCTGCCGAAAGGACAGAACACTGACTTTTTTTTTTTTTTTTTTTGGTGGGGGTGTTGTGTGTTTTTTTAAATAAAACAGTACTTTGAAATCCACTTCACAACCGGGTGGTATGGTACCTGCCCATCCTCTTCTCCTTCGCAGATGGACTCTGCAGGTCAAAAACCCAGCGTATGGTGCTCTCCATCACAATTCAGTGCACTCATGTTCTTTCTCAAGGTCAGCTTAAGTGCCTGGCACTGAAATCCATTTAGGAAAAAAACCCAGCAACAGCTAACAACTTCCCTGCAGCTAAAACCAAAACGCTACAGAAGAACTTATTTTTTTTTTTTTTTTTTGTGTGTGTGTGTTGTGTAGTTCTATTTTTCATAGTATTTAATGAGACAGTTCTGCTTTAACTGACTCATCCCACGCTACCTGGATACTTTAGCGTTGACTGTAGATGCCAGTTAATAATATAATAAAAGTTGCTTAAAGGTTGTCATGAGGAAGCTCGAAGACTTTATAAAAATCTGCACCTACATTTACTCGCAAGGTTCGTCTTTTTATTTCTTCCTGGCTTTGCCAATAGGCAAAGGAACAACAGACATTAGAGAGGGGGAAAGATTTGGAGCATGTAATCAATCGTCTTAAATACTTTACAATGTAAGAGAGTTCTTTTTGTGACATTTTCTAGTGGTATGCTATGTGTGATTTTGCATTCTGCAAGTGACGGTCTTTTGGTTTCTTTTTGAGATTTTGCTGTCAGGAAGCTACTTCAACTATTATGCCTAGAGATCACCTTTCTTAGTTTTCCTCTGTTACCTCCAGATACGGTGAGCACTAAAAATCCACTCATTTACCTTACGCCTCCATCTCCACGTGTTGATCTGTCAGTGTAGGAAGTCCCTTCTGTCTCGTTGTAGTTACCTTGTAACGAGGCTTTCCAAGGCTAGCCCTCTTAGGTTTCCTCTTAAAGTTGACCAGTCTTTTCCAACTCCAGTTCTTTCTCTAATCCTTCTGTAGTTTTGCCAACTGGATGGGGAGAGGTTCAGAAGTAATCTTACTGTAGCAAATAGAAAAGAGTGACTGTGCTGGTTCTGTGATTTGTTGCTTTATATTAAATGGCCCAAAATTCACTGCTGTCCCATATTTATCTACCCAGTTCCTAGGCACTGGTAAGAGAAGGCAGGAGGGTGAGTAATGCTGTGCTTTGATGGTTCTGGTGCTGCTTGTTCTCACTGAACAGCCACTGGATGTCTTTTAAATCAAACACATTTTTTGGCTCTTTCTTCTTCTTAACTCTGTTGTACTGATACCTCATTCGAGTGCATGGAGATCTATGGAGTGTAAGGAGTTTAAAAAAAATAAAATCATTTATTGAGGACATAATGGTCTGGCTAATAATAACGTGAACTAATATAGGTTTATGGGCAGCCAGCTCCTTTCTGCTGCCAGTGAGATGAATTAGCTGAAGCAATGAGTTTTAGAGTACTTAGAAATTGACACACCCCTCAAGTGGCCACAGCTCGATACCTTCTGTGCTCCCCAGCACCCCCTTGCCCCCCTCTCCCTTTTCTCCCTTCTCTAAAAATAATCCTCAACAATAAAGAGAATTTCTGGTTAGTGAAGACCATCTGGGTCTCTAGCTTTGTTGCTTCTGTGCTGTAGCGTAGCAATAGCCTGCTTTAATGTGATGGGTTTTTTTTTTTTCTCCTTCTTTTTTAGTGCCTTTGGTCAAGCTGTTTTCATTATGAGTCTCAGCTAGGCTTGCACTGGGGGATACTTGGCCATCTTAATATCTGATAACACCATTACTTTTGAGTGCGGGCTAGGACCAATTCCTTGCCTGGATTCAGTACTCAGAATAACAGTAACTATTCACTCTTTCCTTACTCATTGGAGATGTGACATGTAAGTTACTAACGGGTGTGTACCCGCTGGAAGGAATCCTGTGGAAATGGGCAGGTGTCCTCTGCTAATGTAAATTATCTCTTTGAACTAGGGAAATTACTGACTTTGTATCTAGTGATCAGTTAGAATTCAGCCTTGTGCTCTTTTAAGTGCCTCTGTGTTTTAAGGCTGGTGTGCATCTCTTGGCCTCCTAAAATTTGTAGAAAAGATCATTTTTGCCAGCATTTCACAGTCTGTATGTGAAGAAATAAATTAGGCTAATCAGGTAAATTGTATAGTACTACAGAAAACCTAATCTTCATAATCCTTTTAAGTCTTTAGTGGTTTAATTTGCTGAGTGTGAGCAATGCCCTTTATTCTTTGGGACTATATTGAGCACCAAGACAATATTTTGTATCTAAATAATAAATGTACCCATTTATTCTGTGACAGTCTATAGAAATGCAGTTAGAGGGCTTAATCTTGCCGAAGGCTGAGCACCCTCTGCTTTTCAGTAAAGTCTTTCAGAGGCAAAAGCCTGAAAGAACACTTGAATGTAAACTCCAGAGGTATTCCCAGTTGTCCTGGCTGCTGCATGAATAAAATTATTGTGGTATATAAGATTAACTATTAATTTAGAGAACAGAATGAAGGTGAGAGTTGTTTCTTCATTGTGAATTTGTTTTGTTTTATTCAGATTTTTCTTCGTTTGCATTTAAAACAAATGCCTCTCAAGTACTAATATGCATTAAAATTCAGAGTTAAATAATAACTTTAAATTCATTTTTTACCTTTTAAAAGTTATTTTAATTAAGAACAAAAAGTAGAGAAATCCTTTCCCCTCCCCGGAGCTTTTTTTTGAAGTAATTAGAGAATTAAAAAGAAGCCTTTATTCCAATGTTACTGAACACAAAACTGCTTGAACATTCAATGTCGTTCTTGCTGCAGTTGCAAATTTTGCAAGATAAATGAAGATATTTTACTTGTGCATGACTTTACAGGGAATGCAAAGTTATACAGCCCTAGGATGAAAAACGCATTTGTACCAAGACTGGGAACTTAAATAAATGTTTTTTGCACATCATACTGTTGTATCCACATGACTTTTTTTCAACCTGTATATTTTTGTTGTTGTTGTAATGCAGACAAAAAGCAATAAAGTGATTGCTGTAGGTCACACTACAGTTATGAATGGTATAATTCCTAATACTTCCAGTTTTCTGTGTGTGAAATTATCGAAACACTTTTTATCATTGATATAATTTCCCAAGGTTGATTTTTAAGAGAGGAGAGAAAATCTAGACGTATCAATTGGTGTGTTTTGAAACCTGTCGCTCCATTTGAAAGTTCACAGTATCCGTGAAAGGTCTCCATAACTATTAGTTATTTTCTGTTTTGGCTATGTCTGTACACTTCTGTCATAACATTGTTTCAGCTTCTATAGCCACGTTTAGTGATTCGGGAGTAATCCAAAAACAATCTAATCCTTAAGGCTAAGAAAATGTAATTTGAGAAACTCTCAGTATAAATCATGCAATTTCATGTTTTAAGTTCCTTTTACGAAACAAACCAAAAAAAGCCTGCAGATCAGACCAGTGGTGTTAACAGTCACCATCACCCAAACAACCTTTGCTGTGCTCCTTATTTTCAAAACTGGACCTGCTTGGTTGTTAATGATCCTAACGCTCATTAGCATTTGGCTTAGCTGAAGGGGAAGATGTGTTTGGGGTTAAGGATTAGCCCACAGAATTCACAGTTCAATTCTGTCTTGAGTTTTTATGATTCTTGTTTCTTAGACTTTTTTTTTTTTTTTTTCCCCCCCGGCTCCTAATGGCTAGAAAAAATTCTTTAGTGAAACAAAGCTTGTGTAAATGCTTACAAGAACTAAAACTCATCAAATATAATGAGGGCCTTGACAACACCTCTGCATTTGGCAGCACTGTAGACCTTGCCCTCTTCTGGCTCCTCCGCTCTGAGATGCCGGGGGTTTCCTAGCTCTGTGCTGTGGTACTTGCAGAGGGGCTGAGAGGGGAGGAGGGAAAGTTACCCTTTCAAGGTACCTTAATCATGTGCAACTCTGTGTATATATATTTATATTTGTGTGTATTAGTATCTATTTTTAGCTCTCATATTTAAACATGCACGGAAAGAATAGCTTTGTATTTTAAATAGGTTCTGATGGAATAAAAGTACTTGCCTCGCTGATCCATAAAACACTAAGCAAAAATTAGAGACTTAGCTTTTCCTCTGAGGAGTGGTTAGTCATTTCCTGGTGCAAAGAATAACAAAATTACTGACTTTCCTATGATCTTGGCTCATTTTTTGTTCGATGCCAGGTGGTTGCTAGAGTTTGACAAATGATTGATTTGGTTTCAAAGGGTGCTTGAATTGCACAAAGCGTTTTTCATATTAGAAAAGACACGGTCATTTTTTTTCCACAAGTTTTAAGATGTATCACCTTGCACAAGTGTTGTAAATTAGTTTGTTTGCTATTTATTTTCTCTGGATTGCTGTAATTGGTGTCATTAGTTGAAGGGCAAATTTTACAGATGGTTGGAGGGATGGCCTTTTAAGCATACGCCCTTCATATTTATTTATTTTTTACACACTGCTACAGGACTGCAAGTCAGATGGGTAGACTGCTACTTCCCGTTTACTCACCCTTCCTTTGAGATGGAGATCAACTTCCAAGGAGAATGGATGGAGGTCCTGGGCTGCGGGGTCATGGAGCAACAGCTAGTTAACTCAGGTACCGAAACGCCTTTACTTCATTGACATCTCTATTAGCAAACACTTCCAGCGCAATCAGCTTCACAGTCTGAAATGCCCCCTTCTCCCCTGGTGAGCGCAGACATCTCTGTTCGTGGCAGCCACCACAAATAGTCCTGAGGTGGAACGCAGCCCTTGCATGCTGTGATTTGAGTGCAGCGATTGAGCGAGCAATCTGGAGCCTGCAAACAGAAAGCTTGCCTTTTATTTTGTGTAGTAAGGAGACAGACAGATGTCAGCTTTAAAAGAGAAGCTGATGAATTAGGGTATGCCTTTTTCTCTCTTCCAAGAGAAGTCAAGTGCATTCATAGTTATGATTTAAAAGTATCATGAGCAAATAACATCACCTAATATTTGGAATATCAGAGTATTTTTTTATCTCTGAAGTGTAGAAGAAGGAGTTTAATGTCTTTCATATTGCTATTTGGTTGCTGGGTAAATGGTAGGTTGCTTTTTGGTTTTGTTTTGTTTTTTCTTTTGTCCTCAGAATGGTTATTTATGAGGTTGTAAACTGCATTAAGAGCAACATCGTTTGTTTTAATTGGAAATGTTACAGAGCAATGTCATCTGGTGATTTTGCTTTCTAAAAGTTATGTGTAAGTACAAAGGAAGGAGAGGAAAAAAAGGTGATTTTTTTTTTCTGATTTTTTTTTTTTTGATATTGAGAATTTTACATGCTTGCTTTCATTAGCTGAGAATAAGCAATTCTTTATAAGCACAGAGCAGACTGCATGTGCTCAGACCTCTGTCATTCAGTGTCTTCCAGTACTATTAGGTATGGGAGCCTTTTGGAATATCATCCATTTAATTCTTACAAGTGTGCTTTCAGATAGACAAGTTATACTCAATTGATTTTTTTGCAGCTGGTTTCCCAAGCTATTGTTGTAATTTAATGTGCTCTAAATTATTTCTGTTGAAGTCCAAGTCCAATACCTATGGCTCAATTTTGGCCCCAGTTACTTGGCACAGCTTGTTTTCTTCAAAGTTTGTGTGTATTTCAATGTGATCGTTTTCCTTTTAAAAGATGAATCCTCTGTCACAGTTTCTTCCCGATGGGTTAATGGGTTATGTCAATGCTCCTTCTTGGGTTATCATGTTCATGGTGTAATTAATATAATAAATGTTCTGATCAGCCTCAGAAGTGAAAGACTACTGTGTGATATTATTTCCATGAGATATAACACACTATTCTTGAAAACATCTATGTTGCTGAATTCTTATATTCAGGTTCCTTCACTGTGTGCGTGAGAAGCTAAACTGTGGGCTCGAAGAAATTACTTTATATATATGTGTGTGTGTATGTGAATGACTGTGCATGAAACACCAATGGGCAGGTTTCTCCATTAGTCAAAATTTTCAGTATAATCTGGCTCAGCTATTTTTCACCTTTCTGAATTGCCATCTTCAAAATCATATAATCTCTGCACCAAAACTCTCTCAACTATTTATTGCAATTCTAATCTTGCAATACCTCACGAATTTAGTAACTCAGGTCTAATTTCTGAATGACTTTTAAATTTGTATTATTAATTAAAACAAATAAGAAAAAAGAGATTAACTTTATTAACAAGATATTTTAGAGGGTTCAAAGTCTGTTATGGAAGTGCCAATAATTTTTCCACTTTATTTACAGAGAATTGCACTTTATGTAGTCATGGTTTTGTTTTTCTGCTCCCTGCAGTAGCTCTGCAAAAACACTTGGCTACAAAAGCTGAGTTTAATGTATCTCAGTGTGATTTTATTAAAGCATTGGAATTTGTTTACCAAAATTGAGGAAAACAATTGTGTTGGCTAGCAATTATCTTATTTGGTTTAAAATAATGATGAGGAAAAGGTAGTTCACATTTTCAGTCAGGTAGGAAGTTAAACACCAGTCTTCCCTGCCTACTGCTGCTCTGAGTATTCTTTTTTTTTGAATCCCCTTACTGCAATGATTTAAACCCTAGTAGGTTCCTGGCATGCCAACTTGCATCTATTTATGGTGAAGCCAAGTTTGCTATTACTAGCCCATAGTTTGGGGTTTTTTTAGTGTGTTATGGCAGAAAGCTGCCTTTGCCCAAAATTGAAAGTCCACAAGTCCAGGAAGGAGATTCTCTGTGGAGAAGGATGAAGGTAAAAATTTTCTTTCCTTGTTCTTTCATCTTTTTTTTTGTTGGCAGATCTTCCAAAGCCATCCTACATTTGAACAGAAGTAGTTTTTTAATAGTTTCTTCAGGATTTGGATTTTTTGTTTGTTTTGTTTTCTTGTTTTGGTTTGTTTTGTTTTTTTACCTTCAGAGTATTGTTAATGCCTCCAGTATCCACAATCAATGGATATTAGTTATTACTCTGGTTCTATGCCCCTAAATCTCTTTGAAACACCAAAGTTTTAGATTTAAAGCATTCTATTTTAAATAAGTGCAGATAGGAAGGAAAAGGATCTTCATTGAACTTGGGAAGAAGACTTGTGACTTCCCAATAGCTCTATCCTTGCATCTTTTGTTTGGAATACTGGCTCTTTGTTTTTATTGGAGGTTGTGTTTTTTTCAGTCAATGGAGATGTCCAAGCAAAGGAAACTGAGGTAAATTACTCAGAAAAACGCTAGGTTGTGTGAGTTTTTGGTTGGGTTTTCGTTGGGGTTTTTTTTCTGTTTGTACCCACTATTTGTACAATGATAACAAAATTATTTAACTACAGATAACTATCCCATTGCCCAACAGGAAAACATCACACCTCAGAAGCCTGATTCACCACTTCCTCTGAAGAGGGAGTAAATGCTGGTGCCTAAACCTAAATGCTCTGTCTCTAAACCATTTTTAAATAGAATGTGATACAGGTATTTAGTACATGTAAATAGAAATATAATGGCTATATGGAAGAATTGTCAAATCTGCTCAAGTATATTGATAGTATTCATCGTTGCTTGCTTTCTCTACTCTTTTTTTCCTTTTGAGGTTTCTGAAGAGTCTCTGTAGCCTTTTTTTTTTTTTTCGCCTTCATGCTTCTTATCAAGCTATTCTTCCAGTTTCTGACACAAATCTACAGAACACAGGTGTGATAAAGAGCACAGATATAAGAGGCAACAGAACAGTGCTTCTTGTTGCAACTCCTTGCTTTATCGTGCATGGACTTCCATAGTCTATTATCTCAAATTTCACATTCTTAAGATGTTAAACCAGCTCAAGATTTACCCAGGAAGGGACAGCCAGCCTTGTTCTCTACTACTCACTGGGTAGTGGGGATGAGCCAGTGTTTGGAACCATTCAAATTTTTCATGTTAACAGCAAGCAAGGTTTCTGTTGTCTTGGTGTGTGGATAAGAAAATAAAATTTGATAAAGGCTGTAAGTACCATTTCCATTAAAGCCAATCCAGCTTCTGAATGTTTTTAGAGAGTTGTTTGCATTCAGGAGTCTCTTACTCTAACAAAATGGAGAATATGGTGTTATTTACTATTTTTTAATAGTGATAGTTGGTTTTTTTAAAAGAAAGCTATATACCCTATGACAGTGTTTTTATATAATTCTTGAAAAAGAATTATATATATAATTATATATAATATATAAAATATATATAAAATATAATAATATATATATTATTACTGCAAAGATGCACAGAATTGTACGGAATGATGTTACGTGTTCCCCTAAGGATGGTGGTGCTAAACTAGAGTAATTATTTACTGTAATGTGCATGTAGAAGATCACTATTAGAATCTAATGTTCAATAAGAAATATAAAATCTAACCTGTTTACTGTTTAACTTTTCATTTTTGTGTGCTTTGTTTTTCATCTTTATCTGTACCTGAATACATAATGTTAATAGGAATGTTATATGTGAATATTTTGATACAAAGAAAAGTTATTTCTATTCTGGGTAATACTGGGAAGAAAAAAACTTTAGAATAGCAAGTACTCTCAGTTTTAGGTCCATGGTGAGGATACTGGGACAGTTTATGTTTCAGTGGAACTAATATCAATTAACAGCACGTAGGTATTTATTTCTGTGCTTCAAGAGTTTGTTACCCGAGGTTGGCAAAGGTGGTGGTCATTGGTAGGTGCCACAGTTCCCAGGTCTGGATGGAGTTACACGATTCAAACCTTTGAATACGGGACGTTGCTTACTCAGAGGCTGCAGTCACATAGTGTTGCTTAGTACCTGTGAAATTGGAAGCAGTTAGGGTGTGATTCTTTGCTGATTGAAATCAATGGCAATGTTCTCAGCACCCAATGCTGCAGAATATGTTAGCTGGGGACGCAAGCATGAAAATTGGACTAAGGTTTCCCCCAAATCCAAGAGACTGAAACCACCAATCATTTAAACAGAAACCAAAACAAACAAAAAAACCCAAACAAACACACACCACCACCCCAAGCCCAAACCCCCAAAACAACCCAACTATAAAAGATAATTCTGTAATTTTGGAGGAAGACTTCTCATGATGTTTTTGAACTCCTGCGATACGCAGGAAAATAACCTAATGGTGGCACAAACCAAAATCCAGGACATCCCTGTATTTCTGTAACATGACAGTATCCCAATCAGGTGCCTAAAGATGAGTAGAACGTATACTGCCTGCTATTCCCTGATATGCTCCTGCAGCTGTTTCCTGAGCTGAAAATGGTATGTTTGTTTTCAGTAGTTGTTGAGGAACTTTCTTCCTTTCTTTTGTTGAAGTCTTTTTGAGTCCCTGCAGCCATTTGCTATCTGCAGAGCCTTGTAGCAAGAAACTGCGTAACTTAACTTGCGTGAGGAATCACTTCCTTTTTGTTTTGACCAAGTCAGAGTTACAGGTAGAGCTCCTCTCATGCAAGAAGAGACAGTGAGTAGCTGTTTCTTTTTCCATGTTTAAGCCACTCGGGATTTGTTTAGATCTCAGTTGTAACTCTCACCACTGACTTTTTTTTCCAGGCCAAAAGGTCCTTGTCAAACAGTCACTCGCTGTGATTTTTTTATTCTGGCATAAAGACATTGCCTTCTCTTTTCCTTTTCTGATAATTCT